GATGGATCACGGGGATGGATCCCAGGGATGGATCCCAGGGATGGATCATGGGGATGGATCACAGAGATGGATCACAGGGGATGGATCACAGGGATGGATCACGAGGATGGATCCCAGGGGAGCAATTCTGGAATTACAGGGTGGGAGACACTCCAAGCATCCCTTTCCCCACTCCCTGAGGAACGTGGGATCCCTTTCCCCATTCCCTGAGGAATGTAGGATCCCTTTCTTGTATTCCCTAAGAAATGTGGGGTCCCTTCCCCATTCCCTAAGGAATGTCGGATCCCTTTCCTGGATTCCCTGAGGAATGTGGGGTCCCTTTCCCGGATTCCCTGAGGAATGTGGGGTCCCTTCCCCATTCCCTGAGGAATGTGGGATCCCTTTCCCGCAGCTACTGCGTGGGGATGTGCGGGGACGGCGCCAACGACTGCGGGGCGCTGCGGGCGGCCGACGTCGGCATCTCCCTGTCCGAGGCCGAGGCGTCGGTGGCCTCGCCCTTCACCTCCCGCGTGGCCACCATCGAGTGCGTGCCCAGGGTGATCCGGTGAGCAGGGAAATCCCGGGAATGCCGCTCTCCCCTCGGGATGGCTCCCGGGGAGGGGAGGCCGGTGGTGACGCCGTGTTCCCCCCCTCCAGGGAGGGCCGGTGCTCCTTGGTCACCTCCTTTGGGGTCTTCAAGTACATGGCCCTGTACAGCCTGGTGCAGTTCGTGTCCGTGCTCCTGCTCTACACCGTGAGTCCCTCCCCGAATTCCCGTTTCCCTCCAGGATTCCTTGTGGGGCTCCCTGAAAACAGAGGCCAGGCGAAATTAAGGGAATAAAAAGCAAAACTGGTTTTTATTTATTTACTGAAGGGCCTCAGGTGCGTTTTGGGCAGACGAAGCCCCCCAGGGGCTGCACCCAAAATGTTCCACGGCTCACTTTGGCTTTTCACACTTGTGTGAGTTTGGTCCATTGGCACATTGGGGGTTAATCCTGCAATTCCAGCTGCAGGTAATGAAGTCATTTAGCCCAAGTTTGCTGTCCCCAGCTCCCTTTTGTTTCCATTTCTGGGGCTCTGAGGCAGTGAGGTGTCCTCGATTGCCAGCCCTGGAGAGGAATTTTGTCTGCCCAAAGCGGGAGCGCAGCGGCTGACACCGTGCGTGGAGTTCAGAGCTCTAAAGAACTCCAGGATCACAAATCCACGAAAAAACAGAAAATCCAATGGATCTGAGCCTCTCCCTCCCCTCCTCCCCAGATCAACACCAACCTGAGCGATTTCCAGTTCCTGTTCTTCGACCTGGTCATCACCACCACGGTGGCCGTGCTGATGGGGCGCGCAGGGCCGGCGCCGGCGCTGGGCGTGCGGCGGCCGCAGGGAGCCCTGATCAGCGCGCTGGTGCTGGGCAGCCTCCTGCTGCAGACAGCCCTGCTCATCGCCGTGCAGGTCCTCAGCTACTTCATCACCGTCTCACAGAGCTGGTGAGCGCCCGAAAATCCAAATCCCCAACTCCGGGGATCGCGGGATTGCGGGCTTGGAAAAGCTGACGGAGTCCGAGCGTCAGCGCCTGTTTGCCGCTGAGCCCCGAGTGCTGCAAACGTGGGTTGTTCTGGCACTTCCAGGGGTGGATTCCCCACCTGCCCTCCCCTTTTCCAGGGCTTTGCAGCCCTCCCCGTGAGGAAATCTTTCCCGATATCCCGTCTGAACCTGCCCTGCTTCCCCGTGGGTTTGGTGATGGGGATGGCGGGACGGTTGCGGCGCAGCCCAGGACTATTATTATTGTTATTAGTAGTAGTAGTAGTATTTTTATTTTTATTTTTACTTTTACTTTTATTTTTACTTTTATTTTTATTTTTATTTTTATTTTTACTTTTATTTTTATTTTTATTTATTTTTATTTTTATTTTTATTTTTATTTTTATTTTTATTTTTATTTTTATTATTATCCTGGGATTTGAGATCCGGCAGCAGACAGGGAACCGTGGGATGTCCTCAGCGGGAAGGGATCAGAGTCATCCCAATAATCCCACCCTGTCCAAAGGCTCCTGGCAGCCTCAGGGCCGTGCCCATTCCCTGGGGAGCCTGGCCAGTGCCAGCACCTCTGGGGGAAGCAGAACCTTTCCTGACCTCCATCCTAACCCCTCCATCCAGCTCCAGTTCCCAAGGGCTCCATCCCCGCTCCCAGAGCACAGACTGGAGCTCCCAAAGCTGTGATGGAGTGTCTCGTTTTGGATTTGGGTTCTTTTTCCCTTTGAACTGAAGACTGACCAGAGCGAGGCAGTTTTCTCTCGTTCGGTCTCAGTTGTTTATTTTTTCTTATCAGCATCACAAGGTACAAGGAGCTGTGTGCACTCTGATAGAAAAGGGTAAAATGGCCAACAAAGATCCTCTCCAAGGTCTTTTATCTGTCCATTTACCCAATTAACAGATGCCAACTCAATTATTTTTCTTAGTGACCCAATGACCCAACACCTGTGCGCTGCCCTGCGGCATTTTTTACCCAATCACTCACTACCACCCAAAAACCTCCAGGAGAAGAAGATGAAGAAGAAAGAGGAAGGACAAGAGACAACACCCTCAATCCTCCATCTTGTCTCCTGTTCTCTAAACTACTTTTTCACCCAGTGATTTAAGAAACTTTCTAATCTACACACACTTTTCCTATCTAACTTTAACATTTATTCTCATGTATCACCGTGAAAACACACTCATGAATTTCATATTCTATAAAATTCAGTTTTTTTCTGGATCCTAGAACTAAGCATTAGAAACAAGGGCGCACACTCTACATCTCAGACTCCAACAATGGAGAACAAGGGGTGCTGTCCAGGCCCCCCCTGCCCGTCCTGCTGACCCTGTCCCCTCCCCAGGTACGTCCCCCTGAACAGCACGGTGACGGCGCCCCAGAACCTGCCCAACTACGAGAACACCGTCCTGTTCTGCGTCAGCGGCTTCCAGTACCTGATCCTGGCCGTGGCCATGTCCAAGGGCCACCCCTTCCGGGAGCCTCTCTACACCAACGGTGAGGACACGGCCACGGCGCGGGCCACCAGCCCTCCTCCCGCCCCTCACCCCGTCCCCTCTCGCCCCCAGTGCTCTTCCTGCTCGTGCTCATCCTGCTCTTCGGCCTGATGGGCTGGCTGACCCTCTACCCCCTGGGCTTTCCCAAATCCCTGCTCAAGCTCCAGCCCATCGAGGATTTCAGTTTCAAGCTGCTCCTCTTGGGCATCGCCGCCCTCAACTTCTTCGCCGCCTTCGCGCTGGAGGTGGGTCAGGGGTGGATTTGGGGCGGGTGGGCACGGGGCTCTCCTTTCCTCCCCCAACCCCGTTTCCCTGCCCGTTTCCCAGACCGCCCTGGATCACGGTTTGCTGGGCTGCTTCCGAAGGCTGCGCCGGAAAAAAGCCTCCAAGAAGCTTTTCAAGAGGCTGGAGAAGGAGCTGAGCCAGCAGCAGCCGGCCTGGCCACCCCTGGAGCAGCCCCTGTTCGCCACACGCAGGATGTCCCTGGCTGTGAGATAGCAGTGCCAGCTGTGCCAGCTGTGCCCTCTGCCCCAGCCCTCCCACACTTCCTTAATTTATTGATCCCAGAAAAAGCGGGGACGCGGCGGGCGGGATCCCTCGGCATTGTAGATGTGAATCCTGTGGCCATATCCACATTGATCCCGTGGCCACCGTCATCCCATGGCCATGGTGATCCCATATCCACACTGATCCCCTGGCCATGCTCATCCCATGGCCACACTGATCCCATGTCCATGGTGATCCCATATCCACTCTGATCCCATATCCACTCTGATCCCATATCCACCCTGATCCCATATCCCTGATCCCATATCCATCGTGATCCCATCTCCACCCTGATCACATATCCA